AATCGAGTAAGTCAGATTTTAATGAAGAGATAAATGAGAAGCAAATTATGGTCGGGGAAAAAGAGGATTGGAGTAAAGTTAATCAAGCTATTCCTGTTCTAATGAGGCAGTATGGCATCATTTTTGATGAAAAATTAGGTTGTTTGAATGATTATCAAGTTGATGTTCAACTTACCGATCTTTTTGGCTTGTCGGTGAGTTCCTTTCGAATGGAGGAAGGAAATCGATGAGGAATTAGATAGATGGGTGGAGGACGGCATTATTATTCCTGTGGGATATAGCGAATGGGCAATCCCGTTAGTGCCAGTTAAAAAAGCAAATGGTAAATTGAGACTTTGTGCGGATTTCAGGGTCACAGTAAATTGATGGGTTGTGGAGTTTAAATATCCATTGCCGCGGATTGAGGAGATTTTGGCTCAGTTGAAGGGTGCGAAATATTTTTCCAAGGTGGATTTTTTGTCGGCGTATTTGCAGTTACCTTTGAGGAAGGAAATCCGTAAATTATTGACGATAACGACTCCAAAGGGGTTGTTCGCGTTTTGTAGATTACCATTTGGGTTGAGCGTATCTGCTTCCATTTTTCAACGTACCATGGCGTCTGTTTTCCAGGAAATGGAAAGGGTATTTTACTATATGGATGATGTGCTAATTACGGGAATGACGCCGGAGCAGCACAACCAGCGCCTGGAGGAAGTTTTCAGAAGGATTAGGGACAAGGGATTGAGAGCCAGTAGAGAGAAAAGCGTTCTGGGTGTAACTGAGGTTGATTATTTAGGGCATCGAATAAATGGTATTGAGGTGAAACCCCTTGATAAAAATTTGAAAAATATAACAAATATGAAGCAGCCGAAAAATAAGGCGGAGGTACAGTCGTTCCTGGGAATGGTAAATTATTATCATCGTTTTGTGGAGAATTTCGCCAAGATGGCAGCACCGTTATATGAGGTATTAAAAAAGGGTATTCATTTTGAGTGGAAATTAGAAAAGCAAGAGGCATTTGAAATTTTAAAGGGAAAGATTGGGGAAGAGCCAATTTTAGTATGTTTCAACAATGATTTGGAAATCGTATTAGCGGTTGATGCATCTAACAAAGGTCTTGGAGGAGCATTATTACATTTAATTGATGGTATGGAAAGACCCATCCTGTTTTTCTCGCGAGTTTTTCCGGAGGTAGAAACGAAATATTCTGTGATTGAACAAGAGGCCTTGGCCGTGATTTTCGGTTTGACAAAATGCCGAGAATATTTGATTGGTAAAAAATTTGTAATTTTTACTGACCACAAACCGTTAATTCACTTATTCCGAAAGGATAACCGGGAGTTAATGTTATCTCCCCGGTTGCAGCGGTGGTTACTACTAGTGGGCAGTTTTAACATAGAGATTAGATATCGTCGAGGCAAGGAGAATCATTTGCCTGATATTTTGTCTAGGTTAGGTTCTGGCTGTGCAGTTTCCAAAGTAAGTGATAGGTTAGGTATTGATCGAGAGAAGGTTTTAGTGCGTACTCTGTCATATATTTTAAAGGGAGGTCCTACCAATTGGGAGGATCTGAAAACAAATACGGTAAACGACAAGGATTTAAGTCACATAAAATTGAGTTTAACAGGAGAAAAGCCTTGGAAAAACAAATATGATGCCTATAAAAAAATACAAAAGGAATTGTCAATTGTTGATGATTGTATTATGAGGGGAAACAGGGCTGTAATTCCGTATAAATTAAGGAGTAGAATTATGAATTTATTGCATGACGGACATCAAGGTAGGGACAGGATAAAATCTTGGGCTCGGGAATGTGCATGGTGGCCTGGTATGGGCAATGATATTGAACGGATTACCAGGAAATGTGTTCCGTGTAATACCTGTGCCCCTATGCCCCGTAAAGAAGTCGGGCAAGTTTGGCCCAGATCAAAGAAACCTTGGGAACGTATCCACATTGATTTCTTTGATCTTGATAAAAAAACATATTTTTTAGTGGTAGATTCGTATTCTAAGTGGATAGAATATGCAGAAGTACTTGGATATACCACGAAAATTGTTGTTAAAAAATTAAGAGAATTATATGCCAGGTTCGATTTTCTTGACACGATAGTGTCTGATGGGGGTCCCGCCTTCGTCAGTGAGGATTTTAAACAGTTTTGTGTTGAGTCACAGACAAAACACATTCTTGCTCTACCATATCATCCCAGCTCAAATGGACAAGCTGAGAGGATGGTAGCAATTGTTAAAAATTGGATTAGGAAGGCTGGTAATCGTAAGGATGATGCTTACATGTTTCAGTTATATTATCTTAATTCTCGCAATCGAGAAGGGGTCACGCCGGTGGAGTTATTTTTAGGTAGGCGAACACGGGGTCCTTTAGATTTCTTAAAACCAAAAAGGAGGATTATTACCTCAGGGGAAGTAAAATTAGGGGTTAAGTTTTCAGTGGGACAGAAGGTTTGGACTAGATTGTTTGACAATCGAGAAAAAAAATGGGAAAGAGGTCGGGTAACAGCAAACCGGGGTTCGAAATTAAGTGAAATTTTGTTGGTAACCGGGGTTAATATGATTAGGCATCGCGATCACATGAAGTCGGGGTAAAATAAGGGATATAATCTCACCTGAAATTGGGTAAAATAAGTCATATCGTGTCCGGGTTCAGTATATGGAAACATATTTTTATAGTTTGGTCCAATTTTATAGGTCAGTTCAGACAGGTTGATTTGAAAGTTTATGTTTTGATATTGTTGGCTTATAACAATTTTCTTAACATTGGAATAGAAAATATATTTTGGTCCAATTTAATAGGTCAGTTCAGACAAGTTGATTTAAAAGTTTATGTTTTGATATTGTTGGCTTATAACAATTTTCTTAACATTGGAATATTAACATGGGAATAGAAGATATATTTTGGTCCAAGGTCAGTTCAGACAAGTTGATTTAAAAGTTTATGTTTTGATATTGTTGGCTTATAACAATTTTCTTAACATTGGAATAGAAAATATTTGTTGGTATTGATTGATTTATAAAACCTTAAAACGAGAACTTAGTAGGATATGTTTATATTTCGTATCAGAGGGTAGGAGGGTGATTTTCATGGTAATAGTATGATAAAGTAATTTTAATATTACGGCTGTCAGGGATAAATAAGGAGTTGAAATTGTGGTGATTGGCTTATGGTGAGAAAGTGATAAAAACATTTTTCTTGTATGTTTTTATGTAATAGAGAATTAGGGTTATAAAAAACATGCTTATTTTGGTTTATGTTTTATGTATGGAAAGAAAAGTATTACGGCTGTGGTACATAAATAAAACTTAAAGGAAAAAGTGGAATGAACGGTAAAATGTTTATTGTAAAAAGGAGATAAAAACGTTGTTTTTGTGTAAGTTTTTATGTGTTATAAGATAAGAAATAATGCTTTTCTTGTGGTTGGCACGTGCGGTACGTTTGATTTTTTTTTAAAAATTTTTTTTCCCACTTTCGTTTTTTTTTCATCCCTAGTTTATATTATAATGGTTTATGTATTCTCAGCCAGGCCGTAAAAGGGAATGTAAAATGTAGTTGTTAAAATAAAATGAAAAGGGAGAGAGGGTAGTGGATGCCTGGTTGAGGTTGTAATAACTTTAATTAATAAAAGTTTATTTTTTTTTAAAGTTGTTTATTTGTCTCAGATTATATTAATAAAATTTCAAAAAGAATTATCAATTGTTGCAATAATGGAAACAGTATCGGGACTCGTTGATTTAGGAGACTTTTACCTACAAGTGACTTTAATAAAACAATGGAATGACCTTAGTGACGGGACCAGCCAATGAGAATCAGCCACCTACCTCTGAAGTTCGATGCCGAAGGTGTTACAATTGCCAGGAGGTGGGCCACTTGAGGCATCAGTGTTCCAGGCCATCCAGGGAAGCTCGCGTGCCCATGGGTTTGCTATCCGAAAACCCGCGAGTGGGAGTCAATGACGGACGTAAACACACATCGCGATCTAGAGTTGGGACAGCCAATGAACCCAATTCCCTCAAGGCCTGATACGGGCATGGATAGGTATCCTTTCAATATTCGCAATTATGACGCTATGGATAGGCATCCTCCCAATATTCGTAATTATGACGCTCGAGGTCAGACCCTGAACGGATCCCGAGGTCCGGATGACGGAGATTTACTACAAAGAGCTGTGGCAATGTTGACCACTGAGGTCCCTCAGCCTGTAGGTACGGACACATTCTGGGTAGGCCCTATGTCCGCGTAAGGATATCATTCGTGGAGATGTTGTATGACATCATAGTACGTTTTTGTCTCAACACAGCCCATGTTATGAATTTATAAATATATAGATGATTTTTTTTTATTACATGTATGTTTTGTTTTAAATATAGGCATGCCATTGGCCCATAAAGGGGTGGCGTGTCGTAAATGTTGTATATTGTTTTTTTTATATACATGTCAATCATTGATAATTAGCTTTTAAAAATAGAGATATTTTCTTTATAAAAAAAGAAATATAAATATATTAATTATTATGTTTTTTTTTAATAAAAGATTTGGAAAACTATTTTTGTATAATAAAAATTGCCAGGTTATTTAGATTGTGAATTTTCAGTAAGTATATCTATTATTTGTGAATCTTGTCCAATTTAGTTTTTTTTTTCCTTTATATTGTTCACGGTTTCTGCTTTTCTGGTTTTGTTTAAGTACGGTTTCTACTATTTTGATCTTGTTTTATTTAATACTAGGTTCCTTAATTGTATTAAGTCTCTCCCACTAGCTTCGACAAATAAATTACAATCCTATATGAGGAGTGGTAACAGATGGAACGAAAACTATAAAAATTAGGCCATAGACCCTTAAGTAGTTCTAAACTGTTTTCCCATCTAGATAAAAATATTATTAAACAGAATGGCGAATCAAAATATTATAAAAATGAGCAAATAATATTCTAATCTTACAGCTTGACCTTTTCAATATTTCTTTTATACCAACCGTATGTCAGATATTCCTCATATTCTTTGTAAAGAGTGTAAATGTCAATCACATTTTTTTAAATTCTGGAATCTTTTTATTTTAAAAAAATTCAATGAATTCAGCTACTAAAGTTTATTATTAATATTGAAATATAACTTATTATAATGATCAATAAGGTTGGAGAAATCTTTGCTGCTGCTGGTGAGGCATTTAGTAAATTAGGAGATATGGCAATGCAATTAAATTCCTCAATGGATCAAAATACATCGTATAATATTTAATTTACTTAATGAAAATTTAGGTGAATTGCAGATATAATACATAAAACATTTTATTATGGGATGATTTATTCAAGCCCATTTAAATGATAAATTACATTGAAAACCTTAATTTTTTAGATCTAAAACCATAAAAATTTATCTTAATCCTTTCTCAGAATATAATTTCTATCACAGGATTTTTCTGGCTTAAATACTTTTTTGTTATAAAAATGATTAAAAAATATTAAGTTATTTTAATTGGAAGTTTTTTTTATTATCAAATTATGTATTATAGCATATTGATGAATTGCCATATGTTTATACAACCTATGAATATTTACCCTAGCCCTCTTTTTGGTTGGGCATAAATATATTTAAATTGAATACTTATTTTATTACAAGCAATTTGTAATTAGATTCTGTTCTTAAGGTATATTCAAATATAAATTCTATAATGCATTGTTTTTATTCAATTTGTTTAAACAATCGAATAATTTACTTGTAAATTATAAATCTTATACTATTAGTATATTTACAAATAGTAAATTGATCAATTCTTTTAAAAGAATTGAATATGAATAATCTATTATTTGATTTGTGTTTGTTTTTGAATAAGTCTACTGTTAATAGTTATAATGCTCCTAGAAAATACCATTACATCACTATATATATTTGTCCATTCATAATTTTTTATTTATATGATTTTTAAAATTTTGATATAAATAATAATATTTAATTTAAATGGAAATATTATATTTATTTTTATAAAAAATATTTAAAATACATTCAAAAATGATCTGTTTATAGGGTTGGTTAATGAAAAAAATCAATTTGATTAAGATCACCATGTAAATCACCCCAATCTAAAAAAGAGTTAATATGATTTTTTTTACTAAATTTGATCAAAATACTTAATATTATGAAAAACAAAGACCTATGTAAAAACATAATCCAAAATTAGTTTTCTGGCCTCTTCAGTACAACAATTTAGTTTGGAATGAACCATTCCAAATGGTCTGAAGGTGATCTATTTTTATCCTAAGTTATGTCTACACTATGCTCAATTGATTTTACTTTTATTTCAATAAAAGAACAGATTTTGCCCAAATTGATAAGAGATTAGTGAGGGATAGAGATCGGTGGCCTGTTTTGGCCTATTAAGAATTTTTGCACGTTGCCCCTTGACTTGGTTGAATTAATATTAACATCATAATTATGTATTAATACATTAGAATAAAAATTGTTCTCTTCTTAATCTGCAAATATTTTATATTTTTTACTTTACTCTACCAAATCAAGTCATGATTGTGAACCCATATTATTAACTTCAAATAGTTCAATAATTATCTGGTATTAATAAATTAGAATACCTATTTTTACAAATTGTTCCATTTAATTTGCAAATATTGTATAACTCCAACTTCAGTCACAGTTGTGATTGTGAACCCAAATTATGAATTTGAGAACGAGTTGTTCATTATTAATTAAATAATTATATTGTAGGGTCGAGAAAATAAATTTATAATTGGAATATGTAAGTTTTATTTCATGTATCAAAAAAGTATGGATAATATATGTTTATTTAATTAATTATTTGGAACCATCTTCTGGCTTAACATAACAGGTCTAAAAATAAATAAAAATTTTGAGCCATAGGGGACAGATATTTTCTCTGACTATTACCAAGATTTTAAAATTTATTTTACATTCAAATGGAATTGGACTTGGGCAAGAATTTTTGTTTTACCTTAAATAAATTCTTATTAACCTTGAATGTTTATACAGTTTCCTCCATTAAAATGACCTTTTAACAATTATTTATACCTCAAAATCTTGAAAATTAGAAAACTATAGAAAGAAAATATTTAGCCAAAATTACGAAAATATAAAAATATAGAAAATATAAAAAAAATAATATTGTTGATAAAAACTTCCAACTTCTGAGCAAATATTGTAATTAGATAATTGAGTATCTTTAATTAATAAATATATTATTTACATATTTAGAATCCTCATGATATATATCTATTTATAATATTTAGTTTTAAAAAAATTTAAATTAATTAAAAATATTTTTTCAAATAAATAAATATATTAACTTCTATATTTTTTTAAAAATATTTTTAATTGATCAAAAATATCTAGAATAACATCAGGGTCATTCCATGTCAAATGAGCAAAAAAATGAGATTTTCAGCCGACCCCCTTCTATTTTTTTAAAATTTAGTAATCAAAGAAAGGTTAATGTAGTTAAGAAATAGCCAAAATTTTAGCATCATAGCATTTATATTTTTGGAGATATTAGGGCTTAAATTGGCAAAATGACGTATTTTTATCATTATCTGCCTTCATTTAATTAAGTATATCTTAAAAACTACTTAATTGTAAATAACAAATTTAATATCAAAATTACGTATAAAGATTCTACCTTCAAATAAAAAAAATTTTTTTTATTTTTTTACCAATTTCCGGTCATTTTATTTAATATGCAAGGACTAAAAACGATTTTTTGGAAATAAAATTTTTTTAAAAAATTTAGTAGACATTATTAAACTCTTCCTTTATATTTATAAAAAAAAATTGGTCTGAGACGCGGACATCTTCATTCTCAAAATCGATAAAAATGTTTAGAAAAGTGTATAAATATTTTCCCGAAAGGGGGCGTTTTTGTATAAAATTATATATTAATCAGTTTTTAATAGTTTTTCTTGAACTATTTGATATAATTTAAAGGATTATTCATCTTGTAAATGAAAATAATAATAAATAGGGCTTTCATTCAATTATAGAAATTGTCTATCGATAAAAGAAATTCAATTAATTACTTTATTTATATTTTATCATAAAATTTTTTGCCTATATAACATATATTTAATCAATATTAATAAAATATGTCCAACCAAGTTTCGAGTTCTTGAATATATGAAATCTTGTGCATTTCATATATGACGCCAAAAATAATATCAAAATTTTCGCTACTCAATTTTTAAAATAATTTGATATTTGTAAAATATTACAAATATGAATTTATTATTATTATGAAATTATTATATACAAAATAAAAGTATTATCATCATAAAATAACTCAAATCAATATAAATATTGGATCGGATTTTCTAAAATCGGCATACAATAAATGAGTGTTTCAATCAATAAAATATATTTATATGGGCAAATGTGATAATTGACCAGGGTCAACACATTTACACGATCAAATAGAAATATTGTTTCGTTCTAAGGACATCAAACTTATAACATACAAATAATGGCTATCCGTAGATAGAACCACTCTTGAAACAATAACCAAGCCAGTAGATGAAATTATCAATGCCTTTTTTGATAAAATAGAATCTTTAATACCCCATTCTTTTATTTCAACGTAACAATCGTTGTATTAAAACAATCTAAAATTAAACTTATACGAAGGCCAATATTTAATTTTATGTGATTTTTCAGAAAACTATAGCTTTATACTCCAAGATGAAGTACAAAGTTATCATTGGAATAGCTCTGTTATATATTATAAAGATAATTTTGCCAATATTTTTTGCCTAAATTATGTAATTGTCAAGGGAGGAAGACGTGAATGGGACGTGGAGAATATTGAATGTATTAGAAATGACTAATGATAATGAATAAAATCGATAATATGTGATAGGATATTCATAAAAAGTAAATACAGTATTAATATGATTTGCTGTAACACATTTTCATAATGTGAAAAAACATTCTTATATAGTTAAATAACTTTCCATAATTATTGTAAAAACATTTTGATATAATTTTTTTTAAATTTTTTTAATAATAAGAGTTTTTAAACTTTAATGAAGATTTACGTCAAAGTTATATATCGAATATAATTTTTTTATGTTTTGGACCCAAGTTTAAGTGGGAAAATGAGAATAAAAATTTTCTAAGATTTTTAGAATAATTTTTTTTTTAAATGCATTATAAATTTTTTTAAATTTAAAGTATTATTACAATATATTAATGTTACTTTTAGTTATCTAAAGAATGGAAATCAGGATAAGAAATTTGATAATTTCTTAATAAACATAAGTGAAAGAAAATTCGAATTTAGGGTTTTCAGATAATTCTTATTTTTTTTTTGGTTTTAAAATTAAATAAAATTTAAAATTTCCTAAAATGACGCATACCAAAAATCATCGAGATGTGCCACCAACCATTCTACCCATAACGGAAGCCCCGACACTTCAATTTAACTTTCCTTAATTATTGTAAAAACTTGTTTAAAAAAACTTTTAAAAACTTGAAAGAAAATTTTGAGAAACACATTATATTTTTAAAAACTTCCGGTAATTAACTTAAATTAAAACCTATAATAATTCTTTCTTAAATTTGTGACAATTTTAATTTTAAACTTCTATATTTTATAATTTATAATTTTTTTTTCTATAAAAACTATATTTCCATTTTTTTAAATGTCAAATTTTACTATCGCTAGTATTTTGAATCTATCTCCAGTTTCAGGTTTGTTAATATAATATTCTATTATTTACTAACCTTATATATAAAATTCTAGATACACCTAAAGAAACTTTTAATTCTCTCGGGGGGTTATCTGAAACAACAAATAGATACCAAAGTTATTCACCTATCCCATCAAATTCCTCGCCGCAATTAAATCCGATAGAAAATTTTTTCGGAGTAATTAAAAATCAATATAGATCAAATTCTCCTAAACCCAATAACCGAAATGAAGTTATTTCAATTGTTATACGAGTATTTTAGGCAATTATTTTACATATAATTTTTCAAATTTTTATTCTCACACCATAAAGTTTATTGAAGAAGGAATTCGATGCATTCCTTTAAATGATTGAATTTGTAATTGATTTATATTGTGTAATATTATATTTACAAAGAATAAATAAATAATAAATGGTTTTTTTATTTTGGTGTTTCGAATTGATCATAAAAAATTATAAACAAATAAGAATTATCTGAAAACCCTAAATTCGAGTTTTCACTCATGTTTATTTGAAAT